CTCTCTCTCTCTCTCTCTCTCTCTCTCTCTCTCTCTCTCTCTCTCTCGGTCTGTCTCAGAGTCTCTGCCTGTAGCCATCTCCAGCCTCTCTCTGTGTGTTTTGCGAGCACAGCTACAGGCGGCTGAGTCTGTCATTGGGACTCGCTAATGAGCCCTCCACTCTGTCTCCCCATGTGGAGAAATGATTGCACTGGAGAGTGAGTGAGAGAGCGGAGAGAGAGAGGGAGAGGGAGGGAGGGAGCAAGTGAGTGAGGAGCCAAGGAGTGGAGCATGAGAGGAGCTGTTGTACCTGCTGCTCTCGGTGCTCAAATATTAACGGGTTTTCTGGGAACCGATGCCGCTGCTCTGGGACAAGCCCAAACTGTGGAGGCAGCCGGGCTCAGTGGTTCGTGGACAGACAGCCTGCCGCCGCCGCTGCTGCCGGAGGCACTGCTGCGTCTGAGAGTCTGATGGAGGAGGAGGTCACAGAGCCCGATCCTCGGGCAGCGGATCCCACGGGCGTGCCACCATCGTCGCCAGGGACACACTCGGAGGTAAACGGAGACTTGCCGGGCAACCCGTACCTGAGGGACGGGACGGCGGACGTGATGGAGAGTCCGGCGAGGTACCCTTTTGTGCTGCAGGATCCTGCTGCGTACAGCCACCACTGTGGGTAAGAATGAGCATTGGGAAGGAGAGAGAGAGTCTGTTGCGGCAGCTGGTGATGTGTGCAGAGAGGTGGCACTTCTGTGGGACGCCCCCGTCTCTTTTTTTCCTCAGTTTTGGAGAGCGTGTGACGATGGGTTGATGAAATGCCATTGCACTCACTTGGCTGTGTTTTCAAGCACCCTGTGTGCCTCTGCTGCACAGTTCACAGCACTGGGAAGTAATTAGACCATCAATTGCTCTCACGGAAGGTTCAGGCATGTCTTAATGATCCATACTGATGTTTCTCACCTTTTTATTAACATTGCAGGGACAGATTTGGGGGCGCATTTGTTTCATTTCATAACTTGGCTTCATTGTACGCAGCACTTAGGAACAGATACGGTCGGGTGGTCGAAAGCAGTTGGTAATTAATCCGTCTGCTTTGTTTTTTTTACCTTGATGGTATTCGGCATCTCTTTTTGTGTGTTTGCTGCAGCAGCGTTCAGCATTATTAAAGGCTCACTGTGTTTACACAGACTCATGCAGGTGGACAGAGTCATCAGACGGCACCAAGCTGCCTCACGACAACGGAAATGTCAGTGTGAGCAGAATACCTCAATTCTGACTTGAGCTCAAGTTCGAGGATTCTACAGAACTTGGCTGTGTTTTTAAACAGTGTTTTTAAGACCAGTTGTTTTGTTCTCTCAATTTTGTTCTCTTAATTGGGGGGAAAAAAGAGCAAAGAATGACACTGATCACTCTTATTGATGGAAAATATGTTTTCACTCTTCTCCTGATTGGCTTCTGCAAGACTTTGATTGACAGATGGTTCGCCCCATCACCTGCCATGTACAACAGTTTCCAATGCAACTTCTAAGAGGGTTTTGTGTGACAGACCATCTGGTGCATCAGGTTAGCAAGGAATGCTAATTCGTCAGTGTACCTTCAAAGGGGAATTACAACCTGCGGATAACTTGGTGTATTTAAACCAGGACTGGTGTCTTTTGTCAACATGCATTTGAAGACCCCAGTGCCATGGTCCAATCCACAATGTTGATGTTGTGGCCGGAGAGTTTGCTGTGGGTACACAGCGTTCTGCTTGTGTCCTCAGTATCGGCCCTGTTGCTTACTGGCTGTGGTGCTGTTGGTCTGTTGTGAGAAATTGCCATCTGGCTTCTTTGTCATGCAGAGGGCTTTCAATCAAGCTGTGCTCTTTTGCATCAGGCTGTGCACTCTTCAATAGCCAAGACTCAGAACTGGTGGTGTGGTCGTGGACTGATCAGGCATTTTATATATATAGAGAGGGAGTTTTGACACTCGCAGCACTGATGATGTGCAATTCAGTTGTAGAAAGTATCACTACAGAGATGATCAATGTCTACAAATAGTCTGTTTTAACTGTCAGGCTACACAGTGTCTAGTTGGACAAAACCAAGTAGTGATTACTGCTCCTTTTTTTTTTTATTCAAAATGACAAACCACTGGATACGTTGAATATCAACGTTTCTGAACCGAGAAAAGTGTCATAAATGCGTTTCATATCGCCCTCGTATCACACTCGCACACACGTGTGGCTCAATGCCATGTGGTTAATGTTTTGAAGCGATTGGGTTATGTTTATGCCCCTAAAAGTACTTGAGGACAGAAGTAAAAGATCATAGGATTCTTCCTCTGCTGGTTCAGCCTTCTCTGCCGTTGCCCCTCTTTTTCTCTCGTCATCGTTGGAACTCTTTATCCGTATTCCCTGGCTCAAGTAAATACAGGGCCGCCATCGAATTCAAAGACCTCATCCACATTGTAGAAATCTCCTAAATATTCAGCCGTGACATTGAAAATCTTTTAGATAACACTGAGCTACGCTATCTGTACCCCAACATAACAAACTCTGCCCGGCCCGTCCACGTTTCTGCTGTTGTCTTCCGGCAACACGTCATCTCGTTTCCGAACAAGACTTCTCCTTGAGTGAGACTCTTGTGCTGTCAGACGCTTATGATAACAATCGGAGCCGGTCGGCGGCAAAAACAAGCACTTAGTGGATGTAAATTGACAGTGCCAAATTCCCCAGAAAGTATTACGTTGCAACACTGGACCAATTCCAGAAATAGTTGTACTTTTTTCTAATCATTTAGGCACAGAAACATGGGCAAATAAGTAGAAAAATACCAAAGCTGCCTTTTAACCACACTTCCATGTTGTATGACACTAATCTGTGATGTCTCGTTGCTGGACACAAAGAGAAATGAGTTCATCCTGCCTCCCCACCAGCTCTTTGAAGACATGTGGCACTTTAATGGCAATAGCGAAATCGCGACTTACCGCCTTCTTCCTCCAAGGTCAACGTGTTTTTATTAGTCGTGTCATCTTTGTCTTATCCTTGAGATGACCGTACAAAGCAGTGCTCTCCCTGTAAAGGCATGCATGCAACTTTAGTGGAGATGGTTTTTATTTATGCGTCTGCTGTAATTGGGTTCAGTTCTGCCGCGACCCAGCCTTAACAGCCCTGGAAAGACTTAAAAGGACTATAATGATGCAGTAATAGTTTATTCTACCGACCGGCTACCTTCCAATGGTTTCATTGCAGGTGACTGGAAACGCACATTAAAAAGAAAGCAAGATTATATATGCTCTCAATGGTTTTTATTAAATGTACCATTTTTTTTTTTTTTAATGGACACTCTTGAAACCTTGAAAATCAGAATCACATTTATTGGACGACTATGCACATACAAGAAATCTGACTCCGTCTTTCTGCATCTTTCTCAATGTAGTTACACAGAAATAGAAATGACATCTCGAGATGAGGACGACTAATGAGGGTAAAGAAAAGACGGGACAGTTATGTACACGGGTAGAGGAACAGATTGGTGCGTATATGTTTATTTATAGCAACAATGACTAGAAATAAAAGGGTTTATATACAAGTCAAGTGTTCTGTAAGTTATAAACTATACAAATAGTGTAAAATTATTATCTTTAACAGCAACAGTGGATATTCTGTTGCTAGAGGGTTATTGACAGACTGATATTTGGTGTGTTTCTTTTCTTCTGTTCTGAGTCACTGTAGGTCATTATCCAAATTTAGGCATTATTAAATCCAGCGATGTATGCAGCCATCCTTTATGCACTTTGGGTACTGCGTTTCTGCATGCTGTCTGAGAACATTTTTAAAGGAGCCAGATATATTGACTTTTATCTATGTATGATTTCTGTAATTAGATCTTCAGATGAACAAAAAAAATGTTCAGGTGAAGTTTGCTGTAGTTTTATTATTTTTATTTCAGAAGCTTTTCCTCAGTTATTCTTTGACCTGTCGATCCTTAACGCACCTGTTACGTATGCTCAGGTGGAACTTGTTGCATGTAGTAGAAAATTGTAAGATTTCAAAGTCTGCAATCAACTGTTTGCTTAAGCAGTCAAACTTAACCGTCTCTTCTAGTAACTCTAAGAAATGAATAGACTGGTGTGACGGGGTGATTATCATCATCAACATGTTCAGGTTTAAATTTGGAGCACAAGAAGGCGCAGAGCTTGAGGTTGTCCCTGTGGTTAAATACTCCAGGTCTAACCACAGCTAGAGCAGCCATCAATAACCATGTGTGGTGAGTTGGACTTGTGTGTGTATATACCGATATCCCGACCAATATATTAGTTTTAATTCTTTATTATAAGCTGCTTAGAGCTAGTGTTAAGAGCTTAAACAGGTCACAGTTCCCGCTCTAATTTTCTTCTTCATACTGCTGTGTAAACATTTCCTTCAAACTGTATTTATTACATTTTCTCACCAATCACTACTTTACAGTCCATTTAAAGAGTAAAACTGAAACAATTAATTGATTAGCGAATGGGCTCTCGGATGTGAAGACTGGCTACTTGGTTTGGTTTCATTGTAAATTGGGTCTTTGACTTTTGGTCAGACAAAACAACCATTTTAAAGACCTCAGTTAGGATTCTAGGAAACAGAGCAGTTTATATTTTACAGAATAAATAACTAATTGCACAATCAAATAACTGCTTCTTGCACAGTAAAATATGGAGGTACCAAATAGTGATTTTATCTCCAAGTCATTGCTATTGCTCATTTTTATCAGCCAGTCAATCTGACTATTAAACCCCACAATCCTCGACTCTTTCTCTGGTGAACTGACGTATCGCAGTGTGCGGGGAATAGCAATCTGATGAGGAAAAAAATAGATGTGGTCTCGATTGAGTCTGTGGTGGTTGCTCTATGATGAACCTGAAGCCTTGATCAATACAATCAAGTGTCACCGTTTGTTTTCCAGTGATATCCGGTTTCCCACTGCGTGGCGCAATCGCTATTTGAGAGCTAATATGTCAATACATGTAATTGGTGTTGTGACAAGTGATTCACGTGGTGTTTCTGCAGCATCGACTCAGAAGAAAATGCAGAAAAGGCTCTCAAAGAGTCCTCTCGGAGAGCTAATCCCCCTAAATAAACATACATGAACATTATAGTTGAGGGAAACAATTACCATCTTTTTTCATGTGGATGTCATCAGTTCTGATGGTAAATGTAGTCCATTTGAAGCAATAAATTCCACAATCCATGATATATATATAGTTCTCCTGCTCACGGAGCTGTGCCTACATGTACCAGGATGCATTGCCCGCGAGTTCAGAGGCTTTGTAGTTTGAACTATTGTGAACCAAGACCGCAACAAGTCTTACAATGTTATTGTAAGCAAAGTAGCTCACAATGACATTAGGTGATAAAAGCACACTCAATGGTCATCTGCCCTGTTGGTCTTGGTTGTATTTACCAGTTTATCTTCAGGATACTGACGAGGGTTTTCAGCACACTTCTGTCCAAGTGAGGAGTAAACCTTTCATGCACTTTCAACTTGCGCGCGCACACACACACACAGGCTCTCTGGAGGTTAATTGGCGTCGGCATCCAACTAAAACTGCCCACGCTGACATTAACTGCAGCAGAATGATTGTTTCCTTTGGCATCAGAGGGCAACTTGAGCAAAGGCACCACCAGTCAGTGTTTGTGGAGGGTACCCGCTTTCCTCCTCGCTGCATCCTTGTCCATAAAATCATCTACGCTCATATTTTGGGATGGCTCTTTCTCAGTTTGCAATGCAAGCAAGGAGAACGTGGACTTTGTTTTTGGGCAGCATCGAGAGCACACTCGCACCTGGCCACCCAGAGAAATCCAAGCTGAAATAGCAGACTGTAGTTCTTCCTTGTATCCAGCTACATCACTGTCACATCAAATGGCCGCATGGGATGCAGCTTGGCACAAGGGGCACAGAAAACATCTGCAGCAACTGCAGGTGTTTTTCACACTATATCCCTAACTCGGAGAGGTAGACATAAGGTTGAAAAACAGCACATTTGCCCTTTTAAAGCCACAAATGCAACATGAGGTGGAGGTTGGGGAGGTGGAGGAAGCTGCAGCAGCAAACAATATGACAACAAATAACTGTATGTATGGTTCATTTTTGACCGTGAAAACGTCAGATGATGAAACGATGTCACCACAAGGTTAATTTACAACAGCACAGTTACTAAATGGACCTGGTGTTTTCTCATCTACTCAAATGATTGGTTTACAAACGCGTCAATTCATTCAGTTAAGTGTTTCAAGTATTACTAAAAGTATTAAATACTTTTGCACTTTCCGACAGTACATCTCTGACCCGAGTCTGCATCATTGAACATTTTTCCGGTCCTTGTTGCCGAAAGGCATGTCCGTCCTCTGCTCGGCGCTGGTTAGTGCAGGCTTTTAGGTGGATAAGCAGATTACTTAAGAATGCACGGCCAAAGGGTCAGAAACGTGCGAAAACTCACAATGGAGGCCGCAGTTGCCCTCCATGCTCGAAGAACAAAGCACACAAAACACACAGCTGACTTTTGCCATTGTTAAACCGAAGGGCAAAGGTTTGAGCTGCATGACGTCACTGCCTCTAATTTAGCCCGCTGAGGTCTTTCCTCTCCACGCTTGAGTTATCCAACACTGAATGCACAGTCTGCTCCTGAAGACTACTGTAATGAAATGACTGTATGTAAATTCTGTCCCTTGCATGGCAAATCGCTCTGATCAATATTTACTCATGTTGGCGGCGGCAATGCAAAAGCGATGATGGCGTGCACCTGCGTCAACGATAATATAGAAAGAACGGACAAGAGGGATGATTGTAATATTCATGACGACGACTGAGAGATGACTGAATAATTGATGAATTGGGAAATGAGAAATCCTTAGAATACGTGCGAGGAAAGCTGGTTGTGAAAGGAAGCTTAAGGCGTCGTTGCTGACGTCTTGATATGCATGCTTATTAAACTGACAAACAAGAAGGATGCAGGGCCCAGTTTTCAATTTGTGAGGAAAGTGATGGCTGGCAGCTCCAAAAAGTGAAACATGAGCATTTATAGGTGATGGACACACCGCTAAAAAGGAGCTGATGGACTCAAAAACAAAAGTTAGAGATGTATTTGTTCAATTATTGAACAGAACAGGCCAACATTATTTTCTTTCAAAGCCGGGAAAAACAAAAATAAAATGAGTTGACATTCCCTTTGCTTCTGGTTGGCTCAGATTAACCACATTGAACTGTTTTCTTTAATGTGATTTGTTGAACTCTGATATGACAGTCCTGTTTAAGAAGTTATCTGAAGTGTCATGCCTCTTCATATCAATCATTTATCAATTCTTTATGTATCAACAATACGCCTTTAAAACAAACTAAATCTAGGTTGCCAGGTTGTGAAAAAATGTCTTTGCTGGTGTGTTTCCTCCAGCATTACTTGCTCTGACTTTTTGTGTTCTTTAATACGTCCCGATGGGTTATTAACAATGACTTACTCATGTTTATAAGAGAAGACTAAAACTTGGGATGGCAACATTGGAAAAAAACGGGAAGAATAAACTAGATTTTGAAAGTATCCAGCGTGAAAAAACCACCCCAGTGTGTTCAACGGGTCTGAAAAGTGAAGCCAATGCTAAGTGCCTTAAACCTGCATTCTCTGCAATCAGGGGGCGACTCCTCTGGTTGCAAAAAAGAAGTTTGATTGTCTAGAAGTCTATGAGAAAATAACCCTATTTAGTAAGTTATGGTCCCATTTAGAGTCAAATAGACCGTAAAGCAGAGTACGCTTTAAGGTGTGACTACTTTGTGATTGACTCTTCTGTTCACTCGTTGCCTAAAACCAAGATGGCGACGTCCAAAAGTGCCAAACTTGAGGATTCAAAACCGCAAATTAATGGGTGACAACACGGCGACCACGTCAACTTGTTATATCCAGTGTATGTGAGCTCCAAAAGTCACAAAATGTAAATTTCAACACAAATACAACACTGACAGCCCATCCCTCCAGGCCTCCCTCCGAAACCACTAGCAGCTTGTGTGACTCGTAATGAGTGCACGGGTAGAGTGTGTGCATGTAGTCGACAGACAGGTAGCACATCCAGTCACTTCATTGACAACCTGCCACAGATACTGGATTACATTTTTTGGTCAGAGCATTTGATTCATCGGTTGCTGTCGGGATGTACAGAGAATTTCATGAAATGAAACAAAAAGGTTTCTAAAATGACATCCCGTAGCTTAAACATCACCAGTTGAAGAATTAGACTCACTCACCTCAAGAGAGCGCTATTTGGTAATTTGGACAGCAACACTACTAAAACTTCAGTTTGCTACTGCGGATGCTGCTGAAATGCCAGAGAACTAGTTTCATGAAAGAGCGTGTTTCACTCTCGGATGTTTGTGTCATCAAAGCTCCTGTGGTTGTGAGGCTGACTTGACTCTGCAGAAATACGATGTTGAGATCAATGATAAAAGAGACCAACGCACTGAGAAGCTTCAGAAGCAGTTCAGTGTTCTGCTCGGCTCTGTCGGCGTAATGTCGCGGCTCGTTTTTGAACCCCTCGTTCTGTCTCAGAAGCATCTCCTCAAAGTGCTCATCGAGACCAAATCCAATTAGAGAAGGAAGCAGTCGCCCGCATCTCTCTGCTCTATGTGCTCTTATTCCCCCCCCCCTATGCCCTTGGGTTTCCATTTATTGAATAATTAATTGCCTCCGTCACATTCACACATACAGTACACACATTTGCGTGCGAGCACACACACATTCGCCACATTTACCCCTAGTTATACAAGTCCCCCTCACTGTGCGACTTTCCATTTAGCGAATGAGTTCTGCCTCATTTACGGATCTCGTTCATGCTGTTCCCCCTTGGACGTTGCTCCAGCAATATCACAAATGGACAAACCAGCTCCCTGTTGCTGATTATGGGTTCACATTTTTATGTCAGCCTGGTCTCCCAAAAAAGTACATTCGCACACAACACAACTGCACCTTCAATTATGTCTCGAGGGAAATGTATTTTCTCCCGGATTCCGTTTGTTTTTGACGACCAATAAGTTTCTAATCAGTATTGACTTACTTTAACGATACGTCCAAAACCTATTTTAATTAATTTAATTTAATCTAATCTGGGGGAGATTGCATCTTATTTGAAATGCAATCGAGGATGCAGTTTAGCTATATGGGAACCACAGACTGTATATAAGAATTGGACGCAGTCATTGTGATGTCACCCATTGGTTTGTAGACTGCCGTTATGAAGCCTCAAGTTCGACGATTTTGCCGTCAGCATCTTGAATTACAGCCGTCGCCATGTTGTTGTTTTCAACCAAAGAAACTCTGGTAGCGGCAGTGACCTGTCATTCACAGTAGCCCCGCCCTAAAGCATTCTCCTCTTTATGGTCTGTTTGACTCTAAATGGACCATAATGTACTGAATGAACATCATGCTGTATTGAAGAAGACTTAAAACTAGAGATTGAGACCATAAACTCATGTTTACAATGTTTACTGAGGTAATAAATCAAGAGAGAAGTAGTCATTTTCTCATAGACGTCTATACAACCAGACTTCTTTTTGCAACCAGAGGAGTCGCCCCCTGCTGGTCAGTAGAGATAATGCAAGTTTTAAGACATTTCCGCATTGGCTACACTCTGCAGAACCAGAGGTTGCCGTCTGATGGAGCATTATTTTGTAGGAGACATGGTTGTGTTTTTAACTTCATTTTAAGCTTGGTTGAAAAGAGGATTTATGCCCCTTGCAGGTCAATTCTTCCATTTTTATTCTGGGCTAATTTGAATGCCTGATAACAGGATGTAATGTTGCGGTGACATGGGAGGTTCACTTCGCTGATAACCCGCTTTTAGAAACATGTGTAATGTGTGGAGATTCTAATTAGTGTTTTGTGTTCTGAATTAATCCTCCCAAAAAAAAGAACACCCAAGAGAGAAATGTCGTCAGCGCTTCCCTTTCCCTAACTAAATGTTTCCTTCTGTTGCCTCTCAGGGAGAAGATGCCGTTCCACCATGTGACGGCAGGCCTGCTCTACAAGGGGAACTACCTGAGCCGCTCGCTGTCGGACAGCGACAGCGACGTGCTGGCCAGCATCACCGTGGAGGAGCTTGATGGTAAAGCATCTCAACAAACTGTCTGGCTGCTGTCCTGCCTTATGCTTGATGTCCATTTAAAGAGATTTGGCTGCTGCTGCTGCCTGCCGTTCAAACCCCCGTATTGGCAACATATTAACTTCAAACGAAGATGAGCAGATGATAGATTTTAACACCTACACTATGTCGGTGATGTAACCTAAAAAACAGACTTGATGAATTTCAAGATGATGAATTAATTGAGAAGCATTTCAGTTAAAACTCATAATCTAAATCAGGGCTGTCAAAATATCAGATTGTCACGACACAGTTATCAGGGCGAAAAATAATTGGCAATAATTCTATTGCAATACCTATAAAGAAAATGTTGGGGAAAAAATGCCATTAAAGTTGATCTTCAATTGAGGTTATTATGCATTTGGTCTTTTTTTTTGTCAAATTAATTGCACTCAAAATACGATGGTAGGTGGAGAGAGTCTATAACTGTAAATATAAAATGATTTAAGGGGCACTGGATTAGTTACACACTATCATATGTGTGTTTTAGTAACATTAATCTGTCTTTTTTTTTTTTACCACTGGTATATCACAACACCCCTAAACTAAACGCAGCATCTTTGCCTGGGCAGAAACAAATTATTTGTATTTGCTTTCACTGACTTTATTTTCAAGTAAAAACAGTCGGCTCTATAGTGCAGGAAAGACGACACACTTGAACTAAAAGACTTGCACCTGCAGTGTGGTGCTGCATATAAATGATTATAAACCCACTGCAGCTTCATGTTTAGTTACGCTTCATGCCGGCTTGAGGCGGATGTAGAACCAGAACCGAGGGGGAATGGTTACCAAAAGTTAAACAACAACAACAACAACGTCGGCTGCAATAGAAAAGCAACAACGACGTTGAGGATCTCTGTCGTTGACCGCACTGGTTGTAATGAACAGGAGGAGAGGCACAGGCTGTCATGTGTCATGTAAGGCGGATCAGACGGTCACACAGTGGGAGTCACTGCGTGTATTATTTTGGGAAACAAGCCTGTGTACATGCTGCAGAATCCCAAAACCCACACGGAGCTTCGTTTCCTGTTTCTTAACAGATCCACAAATGATGTGGTGTACCGGAGGGCCACACACACACAGGTTTTGTCTTAAAGGGACAGGCGCTGATCCGAGTTGGCCCAGTGGGTTTTTACAGGCGATAACTCTTTAAGAAACAACACAGTGCTATGAAACCAGCGGCGTCCTCTTCATCTGAGCCAACAAAGCACAGTAATGCATTACTCTCCACTTAGTTTATCTCACCGGGAGCATTCGTGGACCGCCGGCTTCTGTCTCTCGACTTGACAATCTGTGCCGTTGCTGAGGCTGTGTTTTATGAAGCCTTTGTTTTCCAGCCTGTCTCAGAGTAATCACCTGGGCTGGTAGAACACAGCAACTGATCAATTACAGTCTGCAGCAGTGGCAGCCTCATTGGCGGCAAGCAAGCAAACAAACTAGACTCCCCCGGACCGCCGAAATACTTATCCATTGATGCGACATTAAGCATGCCGCCTGGAAAATTGGCTACAGAGTGCACGTTAACAGCCAGATACTCCGTCAGGGTGGAGCTTTAATATGCATGGAGATATTTGCAGCCTGTCAAATTCTCATTCCCGTTTCAACGGCTTTAATGTCTGGCGAGAAAGAAACAGCTTATGGTTCAAGGGCCCTCATGATGATGAACATGGTGAAGATGACAAACACTAATTACTGTATCAGTATACACTATTCACTATACACTTAGCTGTTAGGTGAGCGGTGGTGGTGGTGTCACAGTGGGCTCGCAGCTAGAAGGTCAACAGATGTTTAGACTCTGTCTAGTTATCCGAGTGGGAGACATTAGCCATTCACGCCTCTAACGGCTATTGGAGTGCTTGTTGCAGAGGCACCCGTGAAATATCGCAACCCTTTTTCTGTCACAAATCACCGTAGTGCAAAGAATTCCACACACACACACACACACACACACACACACATTCTGCTGGGATCATAGTGATGTCCATTGGGGATAAATGTTCATGAAAAAACTTCACATAGAAAAATAACAAAAGATCTTTCGCTCACGATAATCGGATTACGCGAGTCTTTACGCTTCCTGTTTGAGTCTCACAAAGCATGGCAGTTGTAGCACCCAAACTGGAAACTTCATCAAATTAGATCAAGAAAAGTAAGTTTTCATATGCCTGGTGCACCGACATCCTCATGTATCCCATCATACTCAGATATGTGCACTGGTTTTGAAAACCTTTAGACAAAGAGTAAAAAAAAAACCAAGCAATTTCCAGTTGTTTATTTTAAATCAAAAGAGACAGGCAGGCAATGTGGACATATATTCTTTTATCAGACACCATTAAAAACGTTCCTACCGGTCTTGTCTTTCGAGAGTCATTAGAATATCCTGTAGCTATATACTGCACGTCTCCCACCAGCGCTCCTTCTCCCCGCTGCTGCTTATACAGCGTCTGCATTCTGCACATTCAACACATTCTGCCTCGCAATATTTAAAGAGGCAATTTATAGTATTTGTCCAGGTCCATTTAAAAAGCTCGCAGCAGCAGCAGGGCGAGCTGTCACACGGCAGAGAGTGTGGAATCAGTCAGCTGGTGTGTTTTGGTAAATGTCTCGCCTCTAGGGAGAAGCTGCTGTTGCTTGGCCCTATAGAGTCTTTTTTTGACGGTGTGGATAACGCCTTAAGATTCATTCAGACAGTTATTGTCCAGCAACTGCTGAGCAAATAGGGGCCACTTTTGTAATCCTTTGCATCACCTTCCCGTGTTTTTGGTGCCCAAAAGTCGACAGTGTCATCGCAGCAGGAAGGAGAGTTGTATGTGCTGTGTACGATCTTTAAATTGGCATTTAAAGTTGGTAATTTGTTCTTCGGGAACAGAATTAAAAAACATGTTTCCTTGATCTTTCAGTTAATATTTGTGATCACACTCCCTGCCAAGCCTGGCTGCAGAGCCGAGCCTCTGACATGCGATCCCTTTAAAAGCCCAAACGAAGGAGCTGGCTTTGTAGATTTAGTTTGATCATTTGCACCCAAATGCCAGTTAGTTAATGTAGTTTTTCTTCATTAGCTCTAAAAGCAATGAACCTAAATTTCTCATTTTCATCTTTGTCGTCGCTGTCATGTTTTTATCGCATTGTTGATGCCATGCCACACAGCCTCTTTCTGTAGGTCTGTTCCAGAGACGCGCTTCCCTCGCCTCATGACACGAGTGCATCCTTTGTGCCGTCTGAGAGCAGATGTGTACATCATTTATTGCGGCTCAATTGTTAATGTAAAGACAGTTTTTTTTTTTGTTACAGTATGATTCAGGCAGGAGACTAGTCCTCTACTAACTGAATGCAATCATCTCTCCTCTCTGTGTGCTCTCTGGTCTGTTCTTAGACTCCTGCAGGGAGAACTCTGATCATATGCCAGACTTGTGTCCTGAAAGATAAAACTGAGCTGTTCGTGCAAATACTTACAGTCGTGCCAGGTTTCATGAGCTACAACAATTTAGGGGATGTGAAGTTTTTATTAAATTGACCACTATCTCAAGTTGAAGTCCTCGTCTGTAAATAACTCTTGATAAAGACATTAAAATGTTCCTTTTTACATAATAAGCAATTCAATGATGGACAGAGGTTGGTGAATAACCTCTAACTTGTTCAGTCTTTTGATGTGCTGTAGCGCTCTTCCTCGTGTGAATTGTGCTTTCTTAGTCACGTTGATGCTGACTGATGTTGGTACTTTACAGGCCAAAGGCTGCACAAGGCCAGCGACCCTCGTTTACATGTGTGCATTTAGGGAAACTTATTTCTTTAGGGTTTTCTTCGGCAAATCAAATGTTAACTGCATTAACAGCCAGAATGTCCATTAATTGGGCAGTTGGAACAGCAGGACAGGAATGCATTTTTAGGGAGGTTTATGACTGAGAACTAAATGTGCACACAATTTGAGATGTTCCATTATTTCGAGTACCGAGCCGATACCAGTGAGTTAAAAAATGAACAACAAAAATTGTATGGATGTGTATGATTGCTATCATTGTTGTACAGCCTGGCTGGAAATTGACAACACTAGTGTGTGTGTGTGGGTGTGTGTGTGTGTGTGCGTGTGTGTGTGTGCACGCGCATGCGCGTGTTCGTGTTTTTTCTGGAGCTGATGATAAAAGTAGCTAACGAGTGAGTCATCTTGTTACTTTCTCATCTCTGCTGTGCAGGATGTACGGAGCAGGTAGTGCGTGACACCTTTTGGTGTTGTTCCTGTACAACCTAAATGAGCTGATAAATGATGTGACAACAGGATATCGGATTGGCGCACACACTCGCCGATACCCGATCCAGCATTTTAGGCCGTATCGCAGCCATTTACGATTCTGGTATCCGAACATTTTTGTTCAATTTCCAGACGGAACACTGTATACACTCCATACTGGGTATAGTGAGAGCTCCGGTCTGGGTCTAACTGCAGTAGCAAGTAGTAGTAGACACTGCACCACATGTTGAGCTGTATCTGTATCCACAGAAAACGAATTTCAGGCAGACTTCACAATAAAGAAGTCCCGGAGACATGGAGGCTTTACAGCAAAAACTGAAATATGTTATTTTATTAAAGGTTTAATGAAAGCGCAGTGGAAGAAATCCTTCCTTGTCGGCACTTAAGGTCTTCTTTCACTCAGCATGCTGAGCTGGACCAGACAGCGGTAAGCCTGCGGGGAGCTGGTTTGTGTCTGCTCAGCCCACCAGAGCTGAGCTTTCCTTGAGGGAGAGAGGGAACAGGGAGGCTGACCAGCACCAGCATTAGGCAGCTTGTTTCCAGCTCCGTGGGCACATAAACAGCAGTTCCCACTCAATGGGGGCCATATGGATTCATATTCAAACTTGGCAGAGTGGCCGATGGGCTCGGCCTCACCTCACTGACGGGCATCACACTAACTTGCAACAGTCTTAGCATCAGTTGGGGGAGCTGTCCAGGGTGCTGACTGTGTTTATCCTCTCCTCAGTCCCACTGGGGCGCTACAACACCTAAAGTCACTGATCATTCTGGTAGCAAGGAGCCAAGTATGGAACAAACTCATTTTCAGATTTGACACGGTATTAATCCCATATACGGTTCTTATTAATAGATCTACCTAGAGCTAAAATAATTAGTTGATTAATTGACTGATTCATTATTTTTGACATTGATAGAGAGATTGACAGAGGCTTGATTACTCTTGTGATTACACACACAGAGACGATTCTATTTGGTAAAATTAGGTTCACCTGAGAGAGCTGAGCAGCTACCATGTGAACATGTTTTCTTTTCTTTTTGTATTAAGGGCTTTACTCAAAAAGGTGTTTTTTCTTCGTGTTTTGTACGTTAATATATCTTTTTATCGAAATGTTGTTTGTCATGAATAGCCTATTTTGTTTTTTTTTATAACGAGGTTGATTTTTTTCTTTGCCCTGCGTTTGTGAAGGGTTTAACAGGCCAGGCAAGTTTATTTCTATAGCACATTTCAGCAACAAGGCATTTCAAAGGGTCGAAAGACAAATGACAGAGTGCAAAAGAAACCATTTGTGTAAAAACAATTAAAAACGGTCATTTAAGTGCCAAGAGAATATAAAATAAAAACTACCTAAAATAGAATAAGACGGGTAGGAAATAGAGTAAAATAGTGCAGTGTAGGAAACCATTTAATGTAAGGCAGTGGCAACGGTGACTGGGGGGGGGTTACATAATGCAAGTAAACAGGCACCAGTCATTCAAGCGTAGTCACGGACACACTCACAAATAAACACAAACACCCTTATAAACATTTTACACTGTAAGGCTTCATTTGCATACAAAATAAAACAAACTCTTCAGGATTCTGGTTCATCAAAGTTGGAGTTCGCGCTGAAGTCTTTTGTAACGTCTGTCCTTCCGGTCAGAATATTGCTGTTCCAGATGTCAAACTTTGAGTTGGAAAGCAGCTCAATATTCCCCCATGTGTCACAAGTCTTGATGGACAGACACACCGTACATGAAATGGATTGAGTCGTTTGATCATGTAAACCAAGTCTCCATGTTCGGTTCCAACACACTCCTGACACATGAGACTACACTACAAGGACCTGAGTCACAGATTCGTGCGTGAGATGCTCCTTTTAATGCAGGGGAAATAATCTGGACGCCTTTCGTTTGTGTTTATTAACGTTTCCAAATATTCCCTTTTCAAACAAGGGTTTTGTATTGTTACAAATGATGTCGCTTGCTTTATTTGCTCAGGACCAGCTGTTACGGGGAAGCAGCGCCATCCTGTTTTGATGCAGGTCGCCGACTGTGACCCCCTTATTATCTACTGTAGGCGCTCAGCGCTGTGAAAGCGCCGCTCTCTATTTTTATGAGCTGATTCACAATTACTGCTCCAGTTATGTCTTGTTGCTCCAAATCATTTGCCAGCAGTCTGGTCCAGATTGGCAGCAGTGCGGCAGATAATAAGATGATTGATAGGCTTATTTTCCTCATGATGTTTTTGGTTTCAGTTTGGCAATTTCTTGGTTCAAGGCAGTCAGAACTTAGTTTGTTCCCTCAATAGCAATTTGTTCATATGTTTTTTCCTTTGTAACAAGTTTGTGTGGTTTTGTCTGCATTGCTTTTGTTTGCTACACCAGAATCTGGGCAACTGTCAGAGAATGTTTGTGTGGATATGATATGAATGAATCTTATTTTTTATTAAAGTTGCTGTTGCTGCCCCTTGCATAGAGATACAGTGTATGTCCTCTGTGCCTCTGTGGCTCCCTGGGAAGGATGGAGTTAAACCATCCACTCCGCTCTCCAGTCTCAAATTATTCAGTGCTCAACAGTGTGCTCAAGCATGTCATGTAGTCATAGTGTTCTTCAGAGAAGTGACATTCCACCTCTATTTAAAAACAGCAGATGCCCGTCTGTTTTCTCCCCCCTGTCTTGCCGCACACCCTTTCCTGTCTGTCGGCGCTCTTTATGAAATATGCATTTCTAAAAGCACGCTGGCAGAAGCCTGCCGACTCATTCTGCTGACCACTTGAACGCACGTTGGGGCAGCCAGTGAGCCAGCTGCTGACTCAACTGTGTAGCGAGGCATTTATTTAAAAAAAAAATAAATCTCTGCTGTGAGAGTGAGTCAGCTAATTAATATGTCGCCGCGGCAGCACATGTGTGCAGTGTTGTTTGTTACGACAAACCCGAGACGCCACTGCAGGTAACTCATTTGAAAATGGAGGTTTGCAGTATAAAGGATGCACAGAGCAGGAAGGGTTCTGTATACATCAATGGGAGTGATATTCCACACAAAATCACTTTTCTTTTTTTTTTTTTTTTTTTTTTTTTTTAGTGAGTGGAGAAAAATATCCTGAAGGTCACAGATGCCCCCTAAGCAAACCACACCCAACAGCTTGCCAACTCTTTGAATGTTGCTCTGGACGTTGGACAACTTATGAGAGATTAAAAATATACTGTAAATACAAACCAGTGAAAAGAGAATAAAGGAGCTCACCGAAGGGTCACGTCGGACGTGAAATTCCTAAAGCGGGCAGAGGTGAAGGCGGCCGTGACAGCAGGTGGAGAAAATGAATCGATGTGGTGGAATTGATCTTGTTAACCTAAAGCGGAGGAGGAGGAGGAGGAGGAGGAGGAGGAGGAGTCAACTGACTTAATTTAAGGCAAGATGAATTCAATGTTGTGAGAAGAGCATCACTGCCAAAGAAAAGGATGGAGTCCCAAAAAACCCCCAGAGAGCAGTGCGTCTGGCAGACCAAAACACACACACAGTGCCTGTAAATGGAAATGAATAAGTGTTTGTGTTCTTGCAACTTGGAAGCACTAGGGCTGCATTGTTCATAGATGCTGAGTGGATTTCCTTTTTTGTCTTGGCAGAGATCCGTGAGGCGTTTAAGGTGCTGGATCATGACGGAAACGGGTTCATTTCCAAACAGGAGCTGGGCATGGCAATGCGCTCGCTGGGCTACATGCCCAGCGAGGTGGAGCTGGCCATCATCATGCAGAGACTAGACATGGACGGTGAGTCGCATGTACACACACACACACACAAAAGTGTTTGGCGTCAGCAACAGGCAACTTTGCAAAGATCACAGACCAAAGATCACAGACTTCATATTGGTTGTCCAGCTAGAACAAAACTTATCACTGCACTTAAATAATACACCCAGAGTGCAAAATGGTTCTTGCTGTCGGATCTGAATCAGCAGAGGTTGATTTCTGCAGCACCATCCTCACTTTTACAGCTTTTTAACCTTTTTCCCTCGGAGAGAACATTCTGAACTGTGAGAAGGTTTCAAGCAAAGCCGTCTGCATTAACCGTGATTGACATATTGCAAAAGGATAGACTCCTGAAATTGAATACGGCTGGGAGGGGAAAAATGCAATATGCAAATCCCTAGGAACATATTCAAATTCATCATGCTGCTATCACAGCCTTTGATAAGTGCTTTTCGTTTTCACTGTGGAGAGAGAAATAACTATAAAGGGTTCAAGGCTGAATATTAAAGTTTAAGACGTGACACTGTAGCTGCTTTTGTGCCTGAGGGCCGGGTATTGTTGCATCGTCTACTGCAGCAACTCAAGGAGGCAGCCGAGGCTTTCCAACCCGAGGGAGGTCACAGCAGCTCTGGTCTCAGGGAGTCTGTGAATTGTTATGCTGTTTATTTATTTATTCACTTGGCTCTCATTGTTCTCTCCGTCTCTTTGTGTCGAATCTGAGTTAGTTGGAATTGCAGATGGGGAAAACCTCTTTCCCTTTAAATGACCCAGGTCGATTGATTGATGTCATTAGCAAAATACTGGGGTTTTTCTTAATTTAGGCATTATTGAATATTAGGATTGACTGGCGGCCTTGCAAGGGCTTTGTCATGGTCGGGAATAGAAAGTGACAGAACTAACATGGTGTAAATTGTTGACATACAACTAATCGGCAAACCTCTAGTTCTGCCTAGTGTAGCCAATGTGGAAGTGTCTTAAAACTTGCATTCTCTCTACTGACCAGCAGGGGGCGACTCCTCTGGTTGCAAAAAGAAGTCTGATTGTATAGAAGTCTATGAGAAAATAACTCTACTTCTCACAATACAGCATGATGTTCATTTCATAAATTATGGTCCATTTAGAGTCAAATAGACCATAAAGCGGAGCATGCTTTAGGGCGGGCTTAGTGTGATTGACAGGTCACTGCCGCTACCAGAGACTTATATGCCGTCTCTACGTCATTCCTTCGCACTCCAAATATGGTCACTTCCGTTCATTGGTTGCCTAAAAAACATCATAGCGACGGCCGTAATCCAAGATGGCGACGGCAAAATCGGCAAATTGAGGCTTCAAAACTGCAATCCACAAAGCAATGGGTGATGTCGGGATGATTACGTCAACTTCTTATATACAGTTTAAGGATACAACTAGTTTCATTTGGCCAGTAGGAGGCAAAGAGAATGCTTCTAAATGCTCTCTTACGTGCCAGACTGGTCTCCTAAAAGTTACGTTCACATGCATCATAAGGGGGAAACATATTTCTTTGTTTTTGACGCATCACACAAGCACCTTTGTGGGGCAGAGGTTGGTGTGGGTGGGTCAACACCGGACTATCACCCAGGAGGCCGCTGTTCATGTACCGTGTTAAACCAAAAAGGTCGATGAGTTACTTTAATTTATGTCCATAACTTCAATAACATAACAAACATACTTATTTTACACCATGATGTGAATTGTAAGAATAATGGTTAGATGGAGCCCTAATTAATGTATTGGTTCATTATCTACTCTCGTATATGCACAGGGGTCTGTATCCAGTTCCATCACACCCTGATTTGAAGAGCAGTAACGATATACAGTTATTTACAGAGCAATTCTTGAAATAATCTTTTCATACGCATGCGCGTCAACTCAAAAACAACGAGCCAGCGATCAAAGGGGCACGGAGGAGAGGAGGGCATAAGCGGATGCATCAGAATGGACGGTAGTGATTGTATCTTGGCCAAGTGGGCAGCTGTGAGGATTGGATCCTCGGTCACAGCCATCGATCTCCAGAAGATGCTGATAGGTTATCTGCTCTGCTCGTCCCTGCTGTCAAGCCTATCTGTGTGATCGGCGTTGTGCTCTGCACGCCCTTCATGGAGAGGTGTGACCACTCGTCTTTGTTCCAGATTGCAGCATTGCACCAGCCTTTGTTTTTCCAGGAGAGATTACACGTGTTGTTCTTTTTCTTCTGTTGTCAATGACCTGGGCGCCAGGTCTCTCTCTAACTTTGACTCTAATTTAGAAGTTTGGATTCCCCATTGTCTTTAATTAGACTTGTTTGTTTGTTACTAAAGGGAGCAGGATGTCACATCTTTCTTTAATTCATTGTTCTTTTTTCGAGCTGAAACAGGATGCTTGGTATTGACATAACACAGGAAGAGACTTGTCAAAAACAGGTGGCTTGGACTACAACAGACACAGAAAGTGACTCAGCGACTTATGCGTTATGTTGACTCATCCATCAAAATGAGAGTCAGCATGCAACTGTCACCCCCTTTTACACCTTGCATTAGAAATGCACCCAAAAGATCACGGATTGTGATCCGATCAGCCAAACTACTCCCGCGGGTGATCAGGTACGCTCATTGGGGCCACATTGAACACAAGTGTAAATACAAGTGTGTTTTCAATTCACATTCAACAACTACGTGGGCGGCAGTGATGCGCGTGGTCGACCCACGGCGCTCGGGTAAGCTTACTAGAAATGATCACAGGTACAGGTGGGAGGGTCAAAAAGGGAAGGCGATCCAAGTACATTATCAACAACTTACAGAAACATTGCGTGCAATAAACCTCCCCCTCTCTCTGTCACTCTCTTTCTCTCAAACACGCACAGCGAGCGCCGCTCAGACTTTATCTCTGTTCTTGTCTCAGTCCTTAGTCCTGAGAGGATGTTGTGGGTTTGGCGGAGCAGATTTGCTCTCATAACAGGTCGGTATAAACGCAGAGGGGCGTGACACCTCGTCAGTATGGGAATGGACTGGACAACCCTGCCATTGTTTTTACTCCTCCTCTATTTCTATGGTAAATACTCAACATCAACTGGTTTTTACAGCATGGCATGTCAGTAAACCAATCAGCACACCAGTCCAGTAATGTCCTCTGGTCAAACCTGTATGATTTGAAAGGTTTCTGGTATCAGCCAAACAAACGCAGTGATTTAATTCAGGTGTCGACGTTGTTTTCCCATCTTGGGGACATTAATGCAAACACACTAACGATCCGTAAAAAATGGCCCAGCATGAAAAGCACCCAACAACACGCGGGTTGTTTTGATCCAGTAAACCAACAGATTCTCAGTCATTTATAATTAAGTAGGTGCAGGTTTTTGGATCACCAAGAGCATAAAAATCCTGTGAATACCATAAAGTGATTTAAATAATTGATTCCCTTCATTTATTATACCTGCCCATTTATTTCCTTCCACAGGTCTGGAGCTTGCCAGCATACTGTGTGTCATATGGAGAATTATGAAACTATACAAGTCATTTATTATATCTTTGTGACTTTCAATTGGTTAATACTTCATTTTACAGGTCGGCAAATTTCATGGTAAGAAGGTGATAATTAGCAAGTGATGTATTTAAAACATTTCTTTAATTACTACCAAATTACCACAATGGAACAGGACTCCATCAATTATATTCAACTATAACCCAATAAGCAGTAATAAGTAGCTGGTAATTTATTTAATACATTTCCATCTCCATTAGCTACCAACGCATAGACTATTTTGACCAATGTATGAGCAATATAAACCTGTTTTCACACAAATTGCAGATTTTGTAAAACCCCAAATATCATCAGTCATGTGTCCACCATGTTACACCACCGTGTTTCTACAGTAGACCAGAGCAGACAAACCTCTAGACTCTAGAGAGAGTCGGTGGTCGACTGTGGCTCAGGAGGTAGAGCGGGTCGTTCCTCCATCAGAAGCTCGGCGGTGTCCTTGTGCAAGACACTTAACCTCAAAATGCTCCCGAAGGCTGTGCCATCGGTGTGTGAATGTTAGCTAGATAGTCCTGATGGGCAGGTGGCACCTTGCATGGTAGCCACTGCCATCAGTGTATGAATGGGTGAATGGCTTGTAGTGTTAAAGCGCATTGAGTAGACAGAAGACTGGAAAGGCACTGTACAAGTCCATTTACCATTCATTTACCACTTTAATGTTTTTATGTTGCCTAAAAGCCACCGTTGTTCTAGTACACGCTTGGTAAGGGAGCGGTGAACGGAGGGATATTCAGCTGAATGCAATCTTCAGCCTCACCACTAGACACTACTAAATCCTACTCACTATTCCTTTTAATTATTATTGATATATATTATTAGATAGATGGATAGATACTTTATTCACCCCACAACAGGAAATGTGTTACAGGCACAGGTGTGTCTGTCGTCCTGCGTACTTCCTGGTACCGATGTGTTGCCGGTGGGTGAACGCATGTTAGTGATTGGAGGAGAGTGTTACTCATAGAGTCCAGTAAAGGGCCACACTTGTGCTTGTAGAACAGGGGTTACAATATCGTAACCTTTGTTTCTGGCCACCCTGGTTTTTTGGCTCTGGTTTTGCTTCACAAACTCTTGAGAAAAGAAATCTACTAATTTAGCCTCTTTGCTGTTTGATGCTGGTTTGGTACAGTAGCACACAGTAGTTTCTGCAGGAGTTGTTCTGCTTAAAACAGCTGCCTGCTGCTGGAACCCAAGTTGATGAGAGCTGTGAGACTGAAACATACACAAAGTGTGCTTTAAAGCTCCTATGACACAATAGTCATTCGTTTAGGAGTAAATATAAAAGATATCACTTGGTGTAGCCTTAAACAACATACTGGTGTTTTGTAGCCTGGTCCCAGTACACGCACAGCTACTTGTACTTAATCCTATCTAACCATGAACCTGTTCACCCAGTCAACCCTTATCTCTACTGTCATCCATCCATCCTCCTGTCCCGACATCCTCGGACCTCAGCACATTTCCTCTGGCCCACAGCCCGGCTGAATACGAGTGCAGTCAGCCGCATTCGACCTTACATTACCAGCATGGCCCGAGCCGGAGCGAGAGCAGAGTTACTGCAGGGAGGGGCAGATTGAGTCGTATTGCATCGGTAACTTTCCTCTGACCAGGTCCCAGCCTCATCCTCTGATACAGAGAAAGCAGGTGGGAAGACGAGAGAAGCTAAATTAATTTTTAACAGTGACGTAAAGACCTTGAGACAACAGAGGGAAAATATTTCTGTCTTTGCTGTGGAATTACTGATTTTTACTCTTGCTTTTAAGTTTTATTTGTCACAGTTTTGAATTCAGTTTTATCAAAGGGAGTGAGTTGTCTGTCCACCCTATTATTTTAAAACCTAAAGATCTGAATTCTCAAACTTTCCTGAAACCTTTCACCAATCTTTCCACAATTCCCTACGCAACAGTCTTCGGTGTAGTCTTGGTTCATCCAAACATACAGATAATAAACTGCAGGGGAGTTAAAGAAATGTCACCGGGCTTTCCACTCAAAGACAAAAAATGGAAAAAAAAAAAGATTCATGGTTTGATTTGGTTGCCGTCTGCAGAGTTTTGATGCTTCGTTTTGGAAGCACCATCAACAACTATCAGCAGGCTCCCGGATCAGTACTGTTGGAATCAATGATGCGCCGCAGGTGCTCCATGTTGTGAGCGATACAGTAGCTGTAAACTTTGATCTGCTTCATATCCAGTGTGATAGAGCTAGTCGGAGCTCATAGTTTCATCTTTTGTCTCAGTGGTAAACTGAACGGTACGATTTGAAGAGTGTTGGTTTTACATTTTAACAACAAAGACACAAACAGCATCGATATTTCCCCTTTAAGCCAAAAACATAGTGCTTAATAATTTAGTTCCAAAGGCTTCAATTATCTCTACGCTATGTGCTGCTTTAATCCAGGATAAATTCATTGCCATTCCTTCATTGCTCTATTTCCCTCAAAAAACAGCTTGCACATATTTAGCAGGCGGTTCTTAGCCTCGACTCTCCCTCCAAACCAATGAAGGTCCAGCGAGACTGTGTTCATGCTGGTAAAGTTGAGCCTGAACAGCAAGATAAGACGGCAGAACGGATCCAGACCAAAAAAACTAAAAAAAGTTTGTTTTTCCGTTACGCAGCCTGGAAATTACTCTGCAGTTCATAGAAAATCTATTCATCAGATTATCTGATGGATAAGGATTCAGTTGGGATGAGTTTTAATAGGTTTGTTATTGGGGGATGTTTAGGATGGTTTGGTCTCAACAATCATGTCAATAAGTGTCATTTACAACCAGCAAACGAATTTGACGAAAGTTGCAAACTATGCTAATATCAGTATGTTATCGTTGATCAATAATCAGCCCCTTCCTTCAATGTGTCAGGTGACGGACAGGTGGATTTCGAGGAGTTCATGACGATCCTTGGACCCAAGCTCCTGTCGTCGGAAACAAGAGATGGCTTCCTGGGCAGCACAATCGATACCATCTTCTGGCAGGTAAAGCTTTATTCTCTTAAACACATCTGTTCTGTAGACTTTGCTCATGAGTCATAAATTGAACTGGATATGAAGAAGCGGATGCCGTGTGTCTCAGTTGAGAGATGATTACTGCAAAGTAATGCAGGAGCAGGAAGCGAATCATGATTATTCATTTCATTCTTCAGCTTTCAGAGTTAGTTTTTTATTCCTGGAAAAGTTTTTGTCAAATGAAAACTGTTATGTCAGGGTGTGAAAAACCTTTGGGACCACACACACACACACACACACACACACACACACACACACACACACACACACACACACCATAAATAGAATATGTGACTGGTAAAATGTTGTTTGGATGTACATATCAAGTAATGCGTCATAGTACAAATTATTGTGACTCTAATAATTTACAATGAACTTTTAACTGATTATGAAACAGTCTCAATTTAAATCGGATGCCTCTATGTGACCTACAAAGACCATCAACGAGAAGATTGGCTATTTCTATATAGTTATTCTTAATGTTTGTCATCTGGTCCCATCCCAGGAAATAATTTACGGCGTGCAGGTTCACAAGAAGCTCTCCAGCTCAGGAGTGGTCATGTGGGAAGTTCCAGCAAAAGCCTAATTATGGACCTAGTATTTAGATCGTTTAGAAAACCCATCTAAAGGAAGTATCATTATGGTCAACTAATTCAAACACATTTTGAAAGAGAAGTATGTGATATTCTCCACGTTCTTGATAATGATGCATGTTACGTTGATGAGCTCAACTTAGAGTTTTTAATGTGGGTCAAAGAGACAACTTGTGCTCAGAAGAAGAAAGTGTCCTGTGTTTTAAACTCAAATATGTGATGAAAGTGTGTCACGTCGTCTCTTCTTCTCTGCACTAATGCGAAATAACACTCATTAACAGAGGCGCTGCTTTATTTAACTCGGTTTCCATTACTCGCACTGTGAAGTGCCTTTTTGAAAGGCAGTGCAAAACAAAAGCTTTTTATATATATATATATATATATATATATGCCAGATGTAATGGGACATAGACCTTCCAAAATGTTCAACTTTTGCCTCGTCAGTCCACAGAGTATTTTCCCAAAAGTCTTGGGGATCATCAAGATGTTTTCTGGCAAAACTGAGATGAGCCTTTATGTTATTTTTGCTCAGCAGTGGTTTTCGTCTTGGAACTCTGCCATGCAGGCCATTTTTGCCCAGTCTCTTTCTTATGGTGGAGTCATGAACACTGACCTTAATTGAGGCAAGTGAGGCCTGCAGTTCTTTGGATGTTGTTTTGGGGTCTTTTGTGACCTCTTGGATGAGTCGTCGCTGCGCTCTTGGGGTAATTTTGGTC